GACAACGTGAAATGCAACTTTGCGTTAGCTGAGACAAGTTCTGTAATCTTTACTACGGAAATGATTAAATAATCGTCGCTTTTGAAGGATACTTATATTAATAATATCATTGGAAAAGTTATACAATGAATAATTTTATATTCTATCATCACACTATTCTTCCGCGTCTCACGATCATGAAAACGATATAAAAGTTACGTATTTTAAGATAGATTTTCATTTTATGTTTAAAAATCTTTAAATGTTTAAGATCTAATTAAAATATTTATTATAATGTATATTTGAATGAATTGTTTTAAGCTCTGCAACGACATTGAACTTAAGAAAGTAGAAATCCGGAGATTTTATGACCGTAACTAATACAAAATTTCGAGACTATTTACGTGTAGACTTTTAAATAAGGTGGATTTTTAAATTAATGCATGCTCATTAAATCAACGGCTGCAATTTATTGTGCCTATTGTGTGAAAAAAATAAAGAGAGAAAATTTGTGGCACGCGATATTTTTAGACATATCTGTATACTTGATGAACAATATAGGTGAAAGTTTTTACTGAAATTTTTATCGATATTAATGACTAAAAATAAATAAAAATATGCATAAAAATGTAGCATTTAAAAGAGAAAATTTTTTTATATAACTTATCAAAAATATTAAATTTTGCATTATATTTTTAATATATATAAAATTAATTAATTAATTAAATATGTAATATTGAATAATATGTACACAAATTTGATATGTGAGTTTGAAAACATTCCAGATTCCACCTTAACATATATATTGCCACAAAATTTGTTGGTATCTTGTTTCTATCATTTCTTTAATATATAATTAATTAAATTGCAACATAACGTTTTATTTATATCTTTGCACATATATACACAATAAAATAATTAATTTAAGAGTTTACTAATCTGTATTATTTCATTAATAGAGTGTGTTATATTGCCACATTTTCTTGGCATAATTCAATAAAAAAACAATTTGATAATCCTTCTTTTCGATAAACGTCTAAAATTTATGACAAATCTGTACAAATACGCATATAAATACAAAATACTATGGAAAAAAATTTTTAAGTATCAGTGCGATTGTAATTGCACATGTAATTCAGAACGTTCGAACGTTCGAAAGTATCGTGCCATGTAAGCGGTCAAAAACGCCTTTCAGCGTTTCAGCCGCTGCACTTTCTCCGGCGACCCTAAAAGCTCCAACGACGCTCATTGAAACAAAAGTGCAACAACCTCGACTTAACTCCAGCGAGACAGTTTTATACATATCTATGTCGAGCAGCAGAGATAAATTGATATTGTTATTTTCGCATTATAATTACGATAAATAAGATCTCAAGAAATCATATTGTTATCTTAAAAAATTGAACTATATATTTACAAATAGTAAAGATAATTGTAGTTCAAACGTAAACGTTACAATGTGCAAAATTACGAAAAGTTATATGTCTCGGCATATTTCGCGATTGCTATAATTAGAAACTCCGCAACATTTATTGTTACGGTTTCATACAACACCTCGCTTTCGCAAAGAATCTTGCAGTCGCACTATGAGTCATTTCGATCCACGTAACTGTAAGAGAAACTTAGGTATTGTGAAAAAATTATAATAAAAATTTCGCTGAAAAATGGAGTATAAATGTTCATTGCGATATACATATACATTCATGTATAAAATAAAAGCTGTGTACACGCCTCTACCGATGTTACATCTATGTATAAATGTACAGACGCGAAATGTATAAACAAACCTGATTCAATTAATTTGCTTAACGACTTAACGAAAGTTTAAGTACAAAGTATTCGACAGTCGCAGGAATGCTTGAATACGCTTCCAGCCCGGCAATCATCTGAGAATAACGTTGTCAAAGTTAAGGTCCCTATTCTCACGTTGAACGCCAGATTTTTTGAACGGATTCCACGGAAGCCTCCTGACTACGTGCGCCGTAGTGACAGATCCCGCCGGGCTCGGCTGACCGGAAGACACCCCAGAAGAGCTGCTCGCCGAAACGCTGCCCTTATCGTGGTGATTGTTGGGTCTTCCTGGTTTCTAAAATAATTATTCCTACTTTCATATTTTCACGTTCATTCAAATGATTCATTTAAATGATCAAAAATGTTTCAATTCTCATTATTGTTTCTATTAAAGAGTATAAAACAAATAAGAGAATAAATTGAGAAGCCCATTGTTAAAATCTGAATAGCATCGTTGCGGATATTTTTTAAATATTCCGTTCTTGTTGATTAAAATATTGCATTATAATTTCATATTTCTTTATTTGCATGATATCAGTTGTGGAGTTTATCGTTTACCTTTAAATAATTCCTGTCCATTGGTGTGACTAATTTCAAATTTATAAAGTCCCCACATTGTTTTATCATCCGCACGACTTCCTCGTGAGTCGACCACTTGACGTCTTCGTCGTCTATGCCGACTATGAAGTCGCCCTCCTTCATCCCGCCTACCTAAAATGGAAAAAAAATTCGTTTGTCATTATTTCTGTCATGATTAACGATACAAATAAAAAAAATAAAGCTTAACGCAAAGACACGTTAGAATGAATATATTAGAATAGACACAATCAATAGAATTATTAATAAATATGCGTTTACATCAGCCAGTGAATTGTGATCAACGGCGGCTATTATCACAGGAGCGTCGCCGCGTACGCTAAATCCAAAACCTTCGCCATCAGGACCTCTTTGAAGATGCACCAATCGCGGTGCGGTCCAATGTCGTTTGGCCGAAAATATTGCTACAGGACCCAGCGATCTAAATAAATCATTCACTCCATGCTGGCTAAAATCCGGATGAGTAATGCTTAATTGGAATTTCGTGGACGCTATATTTGCAAACAGAAAAATAAAAAAACTCATTTTAAAATTATCTTTTGAGATTAATTTTACTTTCATCGCAATGTAGGAGACAAAATTAAATATCATTGATTAATGCATTTTTTTTCATCATGTCATACCGATAATATCTGGTGGATCCAACAATTCTCGAAAATCATCGTCGTTGCCGAATTTATTGTAGCAATCGAGCGTTGCTTCTTGTGCTTTCTTCAAAACTCTTCCCAGAGCTTTTTTACCTTTTAGATCGCGGCACATTCTCTGCAATCGTTGACTCTCGTCGTGCAAAACAAGAGCTTCTCTCAGGTGCGCCTTGCCTGCAACGAGAAATTTTAAATCTGTTTATATATATAATTCATTTTCAATTCAATTATTCTTTATGGTTTTAATTTATTTTAAATTGGTAAACAAAAGAAACATTTAAAAACATAAGCCACAATATTGAGAATAACCTTGAATAATATATATGATAATTGATAATTAAATAAATCATTTCATAATATATTCTTAAAAATATAAATACAAATGAATCATTTTATATAAACATACCTAATGATTTCCTTTCGTTATCGTCTCTAGGGACCGTCGTGTCCAATTGAGTTTTTCCGTCACTTTTCTGGATATGTTCTAACGTGAGCTTCGTTTCCATGCGAAATTCAACGATCGGTCTGTCCAGCAGACCAACCGCGAGGTGCTTGTGAGCAAGGGCAAGGTGGTGCTCGCGCTTCACCAGTATCAACGAAATCCAAGTCTCCGGGACGTAGTCACGAACTGGCTCGCGCGATATCAATCCATGAACGTCGTTATATATCGCCGCAACCTAAATTAAATATTTTTTATGATTCACATTCATACATATTGATGATTACGAGATATCATAGGAAAGAGGTATTTTACCTGAGCAGCCTCTTGAGCAAGATCCAAGCAAACGTCGATATTCCTTCCATCCCTTGACTGAAGCTCTAGTTTTTCGAAGAGACATTCTCTTGCCTGAGCCTATGGTAAAATATTTGTAAAGTAGTAGAATACTTTATTAGCTTTAGCAAGCTTTTACGCTTTAGAATCTTATATCATAATATTTGGTAGGTTAAAACTTTAGAATGTACATTTTCTGTACTGTAATGCATTGAAATCTTATATTTTAAGCAAAGAAATGGTCTAAAATTCTATAACATAAAATTTCAATGCATATCAATGTATCTTCATAGAAAAGTTCTAACTAAATAATAATAATATGATATAAGATTCCAATGTTAAAATATTATGTTCTAATATAATTCAAAGCAGTAATTAAATATTGAAATTTATGGATATTGCAATAATCAACAGCGACATTTTATAATATAAATATGCATTAGTATAATCGCTGTAAATAAAAGTAAACTTTCATATTTAAATTCTAATGCATGTTTAGATTAAATTTATCTGCCAAAATGAGTCTAATTAACAATTGATAATAATAGTTATGACATAAGTCGAAAAAGTTCGATTCTAAATAAACACAAAAAAGCAAACGAGACAAAAGCGAAAATTTACAAGCATCAGCTGCACGAGCATCTCCAGCATATACGGGCCAAGATCCATGCTTGGCGCGTTTGTGAAGTTCTCGTGGATGTATCGAAAAGTGCCGGCCGCTCTGAGGAAAGCGTCGACAGCTTGGTCGAGTCCTCGAGTGGTCATACGATCCTGCTTGGCGGCCAATTGTGTGTAAAGTGCGCCGGCATTGAAAAGAATCGAGGCTTTCTCAAAGGCGACTGTTCGTTGGCAGCTTGGCACCCCCGTCAATGAATCGAACCATTCGAAATAGATGCCAAGACTTCTATCAGGTGGAAAGAAACGCCTTTCTATAAAGTAGAGCTGATTGTAATAACGTAGGAGCAACGCGATGCCCGCTGAATCTCTAGTCGGTGTCCTGGTAGCCTGTGAATTAAAATCATTTAAGATATTTTTATCCTTATATTTATAATTTACTTATTTTATTTCTTCTAACACTATTTCTTTAGTTTTCTAAAATAAAATATTCAAGGTACTAAAAATTATTATATTATACTGTAAACTGTTTTCTTATTAAATATCTTTTGTCCTTGGTCAAAAGTGTACAACAGTTTTTATTGGATAACTGCGCCTTCGACTATTTCAACGCTGGTAAAAACTAAATTTTAAAAAGACAAAGTCGCATTTTAATTAATTTCTAATTAAATGCGCTTTATTCTTTAAAATTTTAATTTTATGCCACTTTTAAGAAATTAATAATACATTATTTCTCGAAAATTCTACAGACAACTGTTGAACAATCTCTACGTTTCAATCCAAAGTTTTTAAATTATTTGTAAGAAAGATAAGAAATTTTTTTTTTTTTCAAATTTGACAAAAATTATTATTATAGGAAAAAAAGTATGCAGTATTGTATACCTGTCTAGTTTCCATCAGATCAGCTATAGCTTCTTCATAGTTTTCACCATCCTCACTATAGTGCTCCAAGATAAAGTCCTACAAAAGAAAAGATCGTTTATGCGGGACAATCGATGATTCACAGCAGGTGCCCGTAACATGAAGCCGCGGCACGTGACTGGCAATGTTAAATCGATATCTTTCTAGCAACACGACTCTCTAACAATGAGACTTTTCTGGTCAATGTGTGTCTACGCATTTCTCCTCGAGATAATCAAGTGACATTTTTCTTTGCAATTCTTGTTAAAAACTGACGCGGGACAAAAATGGTGAAGATCACGTTCGAATTATTACGAAAGCGCTCGGAGCACAACGAGAGCGAAATATCGACGTTGGAGGAGATAGCCTTGCATCAAGAGAATATTGATAAATCGAGTTGTTAGACAGGCAGTGCAGGAATCTCAAGATCCTTTTGTTGCAGCACAATCTCATATCGAAGATAGAGAATCTCAATATGCTGAAGAGACTGGAATACTTGAACTTGAGCCTTAATAACGTCGAGGTTATCGAAAACCTGGAGGGCTTGGAGAGCTTGAAAAAGTTGGATCTCACCATCAACTTCATCGGAAATTTACAAAGTATAAAAAGTCTCAGGTATTTTCCTCCGTAAATAATTTATCGCTAGTATCTTATTAAAATACATTAATATTTTTGGAATGTTACTGATCATATTATCAACATTATTTATAAAATTTACAGTGCTCGCTATTTGAATGTTTATTCTGAAAATAGTAGATGTGTTTCAAATATTTACATATTGTCGTTTCAAGTTTTTATCGTTGACGCATCTACCAAATGAGCTTCGTAATTTGTTGTTCTCGTAATCATAATTATCTGCATATTTGTAACATACGTTATACACGCGCTTCCGCATTAAATCAACATCGTGCACTCACTACTGTTTTTATGTATTTGATATTTGACGTTTTTACATATTTATATCATAAAATAAAAAATAAATAATCTACTAAATAATTTGTGCACAGTTTATCAACGAAAAATGTTGAAGATTGAACGTCAGTTATTCAATTCAATATTATTTTGAATTTGAGAATCCCAAATTATATTCCTGTTTCGTGCAGGTGCAACGAGAACTTGGAGCAACTGATTCTAATGGGAAATCCGTGCGCGGATTATGAATACTACAGGCAATACGTCGTGGCAACTCTGCCGCAATTGCGAGAGCTCGACATGCAAGACATTGAAAGATCAGAGCGTATCAAAGCGTTGCAGATCTACGCGCGAGCGCAGGACGATGTTATCGAGAGTTATCGACGCTACGAGAAAACCAGAGTAGTCCAACGGGCTCGTCGCAAGGCTGCTCTCGAAACAACAGAAACAAGTGAGATGGTAAATTCTTCTTGACAATGTGTGCGTGATAGTGCTGTGTCTGTAATTCAGTCCGTGAGCAAGAATGCATTTACCACGTAATAACCGGTAATTACCCAGTAATTACTCGATAAGTATCTAGAAATCCAGTAATTTTTAAAATATTACAAAGAACATCTCTTTTAAATTACGCTTAATTCTTAAATTGCGTTGAACAAGGTCGTAAATTAGCACCTAATTTAAATGGTAAAGGAATTTGAAATGTTCAGGAAACTTTGGAATGCTTCTTTCGTTAGCATACATACATTTGTATCAACATTTTTCAAACAGTCCGCAGTCTGCGAAGTACGCAGTTACGTCGCGGGCTCATTTATGCATGAAAAATGCAAATAAGAGCGCATAATGTCTTCTTTAGAATACTGCAGAGGAAAAACAGGCACGGAATACAATAAACGAGCGAAGCGAGAACGCAAGAGCGCAGCAGGATGACGAATCGGAGGACGAGCGTTTCTGGAAACAGCCTAGTTATCACACACCGGAAGATAGAGTCGCCATTGCCGAACGACTGTTGAACAAACAAGAGAAAAGAAATCGCTCGAATACGAATGATCGTCCGAAACCCGTGTTGAAGTTGTTCGCTCCAAACGGAAGACCTTACAATATTAATCAAGCGAAGGTGGCGTTCAAGCTAAACGACGAAGACGATCCCGATTTCGTCGTTCTCGATGTCTCTGTTTACAGGTACGACTGTAGCTTCGCTAGTTTGCAGATTGCAAAAATTTATCAAACGTTCATTCCACGCTTGTTTCTCGAATTCGTAGGCACTTAGATACCTCTTATATCAACGTCGACGTGAACCCGACTTACGTGCGAGTTACCATAAAAGGAAAGATCCTGCAGTTAACCCTGCCTTGCGAAGTATCGGTTGATCGGAGCGATGTCCGGCGGAACACAACCACCGGAAATTTAGTGATCAATATGGCCCGCTTGGCGCCGTGTACGGCGATCGTAAAAAAGGATGAATCAGCATCGAAGAGAAAGGAGAAATGCAATAAGCGGGAAACAAAGGTGATCACAGTTCGGCCACCGGTGATCTCCCGACGAGCCCTCCTCGAGATCGGTCCACCATCGGATTTTCACGATTTTTTGAGAATAACTGAAGATCCCGCGGAACGAGTTCGGAAGATCAGAGAGAAAGATTTCGAAAATTTCCAAGACAATCCGGATGTACCGCCTCTCGAATAAACGGATATACGACGTAATTATTGCAGCGAACAAAGCACCAAGATCATGAGAATGCAGATCTTAAAAATTCGTTATATTGATTCGAGGCTCACCTTGAACGGATCCCGAAAATCGATGTCTTTGGTCTCCTTCAATCCTAATGGTATCATCGGCATAACGGGCTCTTCGCTGAAAGAAAATACCGTTCGATGCAATATACCGTACGCTTTCGCAATAATACACATACATTATCAGCAAAGTTCATAATTCTCGCTGAACTTACCCATCGACATTTTGATACAGCTCCACCGAGCTGTTCAACTCGGCGAGCTGTTCCTTGAGCAGCTGCAGATTCGAATTGACGAAGCTCAGCTCTAAGGCAACGGTTTCCTTCAGTTTTCTGTTCGTCGTCGCTCTGTAACAATGTTAATGGAAATTAGTACAATCGCAAATATCTTGGAGAGAGTTTTATCTGTGCAGCAAAGTTTTATTAACTTTTACATTTGATTGCGTCTGTTATTTAGAATTTTCAGTTTGCGAATAAATCACACAGAACTGAATAAAAATAATTAATTCGATATAATCATGTCGCCGCGCGATATTGATGCAACAGTTATCTGACGCGTAAAGTTTAAAAATATATACACAATATGAACACTTACTTGAAGAGATTTTCCGCGCCCGCTCGTAGCCGCAACTCCTTGTTGATCTCTTGATTGAGCTTGCTACGCTTGTTCTGCAGCTTTCCTCTGCAGGTCGCTACCCTCGGATCCGAACCCTGCGAACCATGAAACGCATAGTTAGCGATGCCTCCGACGCACCGTGTATGGCCCGTAATCGCATAATCCGCAAGGATTGCCGTAACGATAAAGACCAGTTCCGCTAACCACGTTAATCAACTAGCTCCGACCGGTGATCATCATCTATCTTCTTTTCAGATCATAGTTCAAGCCATAAAACAGGTGGAAACAAGGCGATAAAACGGTTTTTATTTTTCTTATCTATATTAACTCTTGTGACACGTGTTCCACACAATTTTTTGAAAAGCTTTCCTTCTCTAATTATTTAATTTCTCATTATTGAACACAATTCACAATGATAATCATTCATAATTATAACTAGAACAACATTTGATTGAGATGTTACTTAAAACACTGCAGAAATATGTCATATGAAAATTAATGAAAGTTACAAAAATAGATTACACGTTACTAGTGTTTGCTTCTTAAAATATAAACGAGAGAAGCATCTGATAAATATAATGCTTTCTAAAGGTGTCAAAATCCTAAGTGCGCCATTGTACGGAGCGGAAGAAAAATGATGCTACGGTTTCATCACCGTTAATACGCGTAAAGATTACGCGTCGGAGGAAGCCGCCGCGTCGACCTCGAAAACGCCGCGTGTGCAGCCAACTGTCAAGTTCGACTTCCTTTGCTCCTTACCCCGAACCGAAAGCATCTCCTCATGATAGCATCCGGCGTGGCGGTTTTCGCGTTTCGCGCACTCCGCGCCGTGCCACCGCCGTCCTTTCTTCTGTCGATCGCCTTTCTTGCGTCCTTCTCACTCTTCTCGCTCGGAACGACCATCTTCGCGTCCGAGGATGCGATCGCACGATCCTTCGGTAACGGGCAATAGTGCACCCACTTCAACATGATCGCGAATGCATCGACAGTGATCTCGAGCGTATCATCGGAACTGAGTCTGTTCTCCGGTGCCGGCGGAGATGAAATTTTCTAGCGGCCGAGCATTCTCCCCTTCTTTTATATTGTCCGATAATGAGATAAATGAGGTCCGGTAAATTGGACACGGTACTGATTTATAAATTATAATGCTCTAATTATATATATAGAGCCGCAATTAGAAATTTTTTTTCTGATTCGCGCACAGATTAGATCTCAACGCTTCACTGTACTGTTTTGTAACATTTACATCACACGTTTAAAATTGAATTTTTTTACAAATTTTTTTTAATTTAACGCTATTTTTTTGTAAAAAGTTTAAAGCAAAGCTTTGTTATTTTTTACTTTGGTTATTGAAGAGGAGGAACAATATTCATGGATTGAGAAATGCTAATATAGATGTAATTGATTGACAAGATATCATTTTAAACTTAATGCCAAGTTGACATTATTATAATAGAACTTTTAATAAAGCTTTAATTTTTAACATAATTTCTTCTTCAATTAATAAAACTTTAAGAAACGGTCAACTAAAATAATATCCAATAAATTGTTATCAAAACAAATTTATTAGTAAATTCAATTGCTCATCAATAAATTCCATTTAATTCGTTCTTAATTTAATAAAAAGGAAAAGAGAAAAATATCAGTTCTAAAATTCCTTCCAGGAATACAGTGTATCCGCGAGAAATACTATTTCTCCGAATCCATAACTAAACCTGTATTTATCATGTCGCAGAATTTAATCGTTATATAAAAGTTGGTCATAAAAATCTTTACGTAATTTACACGCGACGTAAGAAGCAGGCAAATGCCTATTTACAAGTTTTAGATAGACAAACTTTCGGAAATACAAATAGATCTATAATTAGTCGGTTTCCTGGATACACAGGAAATTACAGAACTGATATTTTTCTCTTTTTCTTTTTCTTAAATTGACGTGTTCGTTGCAAAACATCCTACTTTTTAAAATTTGTTTTAAATTAGTTAACAATTAAAAGAAAAAGATGAAATTATAATAACATCCACTTGAATATGTACTTGTTTTCACTGCAAAAATGTAATAATTTTAATTTAATAAAAATTTATAATATTAAAAACACAAATTATGCAAAATTGCAATAAACGCAAACAACTCGCGAGCGATATGGCACGGCTAACGGTGCTCGATGATTTAGCCGTGCCTTATCATCCCAAACAAAACTCCATTTTTGAAGAACCATTGTGCAGTAATGCGACTCGCGTTCTCAGCCGAATTTCCGCGAGGCGAAGGTATCAAGTAGATTAATGCAACTCGAATCGCGTTTTATCAGAAACGTGGGATTATATTTAGCTAAAAAAAATAACTTTAAATGTTTACGAAAATCCGATTTGCTAATTCGGCACAATGAAATATTTATTGCTAAAAATCAACAATCACAAAAAAATAATAAACGTAAATAAATTAAGAGAATTAACTTGAAACTATTTATCAGATTATAGCGCTTCTATGTTGCTCTAATTCAATAGTGAAAAATCGCAAATATTGATATAAAATGGGGGCCATAGATAAAATTATTGCCTTTGATTAAAAATTGAAAATTCTTCTAAAGTTAAAAAAGATAAGCGCGAATCGAAACTCTTCTAAATCTGATGTTATGAAATGATATTATGAAATAAATTTATGTATCAAAAAATATAATAAGAATATTTAATGCGGAGAGTCTTAAATGCTCCAAGATCATATATGCTTCTTATATTCATGTTTTCAATTACGGAAATAGTCAGATATACGTCGTCAATATTAGTAAAAGGTAACAATTCTCGCCGTAAAAACAAAGATAGAGAAAAAAAGAAAAAGATGGAGGCTTATAAAGTTTTAGCGGTTAGCTTTAGACGTAACGGCGGAGTAGGCGTTCACGTTACCGTAATTCCGTTCCACTCTACTTAATAAGCCATCTCACTAATGCGATAAGCGCGATTCAAAGGTAACGATGAGTTATCCGTAAATGTCGCTCGAACGAGCCGATATAAAATCTGAAAAGCGCGTTCTCCTGCACAATCCATTACTCTTGATTACAGTTTCCTGTTACGACGAATTTTGTGCAACGCCGAATTACGATGTCATTACAACATTTCATAACGTCGCGCACGACCGAACGGACGAATCGTCGGATTATGCGGATTCTTCCTTATATAATCATCATTGTTTGCGCCGCAACGCTCGCGTAAAAATTTATTTTTAGCTCATGCACAGAGATACATGAAGATATTGTTTGTACAATCTTTTATAATTTTCATTTTAAGCGCAGATAAAACGAGAAATTGTCTAATAATACTATGAATTTCTCTTTTTTAATTCCTTCCAATTCGGATGATAAAAACTTCGGATGATAAAAACTAATATTTAAAAACGCGCCTAAGCGCGCATCTCTTTAGTGAGAACAGATTTCTTAAATTTCGTTTCTCATATACAGAGATCTTGACCAGTTCGTGAGCCGACTTTTTCTTCATGACTATGGCATTTTATTCAGGAGGGCAACGATATAGATAATACTTGGCGAGAAAAACATTAACGTGTAAATAGGATACACAAGAGCTAACTCGGTCAACTAGAAGTTACGATCAGCGTTTCTCGTTCCACAGGAAATTGTAGCATCGAGTACCTCCGTAACATAAATATCGGTGGCTAGAGAACGTCGAAGTGCTGTAACACACCTAACACGCCCATCGTTGGTGTCCCACTGATTATGCACTCTTTTTCTGAATATCGATATGGAAATCATTGCTTTCTTCCATGTTTAATATACTGAACAAAATTATATGTTTAATGTGTATACTAAATAAAATTAATCACTTTTAAATAATTTGATAATCATAAAATATAATTTTACGATACTAGAAATTATGTAAGAAATTTCTAAAGAAATCAACAGGTAAACCAAATTTTGTACTAATCACAAAAATTTTATGGTTATTAAATCAGATTGATCTTCCTTTTTTACATTACATTTATAATTTGATCCATTATATCGATCATTTATATCAAATTATATTAATGTATGTTTCGCTACATTTTTTTAATGATCCATGCTACGTACAGTACGCGCAAACCTTCGAGCAAAAATTCAACTATCTTATGAATTATATGTCAATCAAGAATATTTAATGATCCTTAAAGAACTATGTCACAAATTCTCGTCGAGAAAGAATCAACTATAATTCGCCGAACAGTCATCGCAATTAAGAGGAAGCGCGCGGAACACCGAGCATGCCACAATATGATGCGTACGCGACGTTAACGACTCCGCCGGATGTTATCGCACGCTAAATCTACCGTAACTCGCGCGTTATTAAACCTCGCGGCCCAGTAGCCGGCCGGCCGGCCGGCTGGTCGCATAACTGTTTGCCGTTTCAGGCGAATCGAAGACGAGGTCGATCGGAATCGTTATCGGTGAGCTAAATCGACATTGAGCATCCGTGCGTAAAAAGCAGCAATTCAATCGTGATATAACTGAACACTGATTCTGCGGCTGGAGGTTTGCACGCGTACCGCACGCGGAATATTCAATTAAATTTGGAGGTCCACGCGTGCACTGTACGTTGAATATCGAATGAAATTATCACCATAATACAATGATAATGAGTGCCGTATGTTTCTATTTGGTTTGGTTGCTTGTATTGCATATGAGATGATTTAGATATTTCACACGTACGCTATTGTTGTTTACAGATAACACGCCTGCAATATCCACACATAATTCAAATGTAAAAGTCATAAAAAAGATAAATTATAAAATAAAATATTTGAAAGATTAAAGAATGCATATTAAATTTATACATTCAAACTCTTTATCGCATCCTTGAATAATACGGCACACATTTATGATGACAGGCTTATTACAACTGAATAGTTTAGATATGGTAATGTAGTAAGTAGAACAATAATAGCTCTGAGTAAAGTAAAATTACTATTTTATGTGTAATTTAATGTATAGATGATTGATAGTGCATAAAAATCATCAATGTTATGTAATATGCACATATTATGTTGGAAAAAGAGTGCTTGAACCTTTGTAATTTCCTAAACTGTAACTCATTCCTTCAAAACAATGGCCGCGTGACTTAATTTATTATTGCATAACACTGCCCACACGTTCGGTGTGGCCACGGTGTGTAGGCCACGGCGCGTAGGCATTCAACGTTCCTAATTCAGCGTTTGATTTATGTGACCTCGATAAGCGACCTTGTCTTGCGAATTTTGGAAAGACGAAAGACGAGTGTAGATTTAATTTAACTATTATTTTATACGCAATTACTTCTTTTTGTATATTTAATGCGCATTACGCATCTATCGATCTTCGCGGATAAATGGTGTCACATTTGTACGGCGATAATTTTGCAGCGAATCGTTGAAGAGATTATTGAAAAAGTTTTACCACAGAAAAAAATACTTTCAAATTTGTAAATTACGATACATTATTATCATTATCTTCTGCGTCGACAGTCACGTCCGAACGGCATCTCTCTCACGGTATTTACGCTTAACTACCGTCATTTTTAACGGAACTGCACGGAAATTTAACGTAACGTTTTCAGCAGTTGCCGAACACATCTGTCGCGGGGAAAAAAAATATGTTTGAAAATTGCAAATTAGAATATTATTGTTACCCAAGGCAGTCGTCGATCAAACACGAAATTTACACTTGATCATGATGATTTTTAATGGAATTTAACCGATCAATCGATCTTTTCTTTCACCCGTGCAACGTCGACTCGTGGCCGGCCACCGTCGTATCTCCCCGGCGACTAATCGTGAGAGGAGAGGTCGCCGGAATATGGGTCCTGTGGACTCCGGCACTCGGTGAAAGGAGAGAAACTCCGTAAATAATATAGTGGGGATGGATATACAACGATGGCTTTTTTCTTCTCTGTCTCCTCGCGATTCTTGTACATACACACGTACATATGCACGATACCGATGAAAAAAAAACACACACGCCCGTAAAAGCGGCTCCGCGAAGCGTTGATAGGTGACAAGGCTCTTCTCAATCGCTATACAGACTTGTACACATAGTTATTCAGCCGCGATATCTCGCCGCACGGGGTTTCCACGCGGTCGATGGCCCGCATTCCCATCATCCATTTAGCGTTAATGCGACTTTATCAAGTTTATTTTTAAACAAACGTGTTTCTTTCCGGCTCGACCGAACACGTCAAGCTCGTATGAGAACTGCTTATTCAAAAAATCAGATTTGAAGAAACATGTGTATTTGACTTACTGCTGAGAACAAATCATGTGTAGAGTATTACACATACATATACAATGCATACAAAAAATTTAGTGAGATAAAAACTGTTCTCCAACGTGATTTATACGCTAACGGTATTATTAATTGGTGTTAATTGATGTATAATCTTCAAAATAGAAAATCTTTCTCACATAAAAAATTCTAAACCGGTACTGAAACCTCGAAACGGCTTCATCACATAAGAAGTTAAAATATTTCAATAGATAAATAAACGGCAGCTTTATCATTAAATATTATCTTAATGATAATATTGATAATAAAATAATTTGATAACAAACATTATCAAAAAATTTATAAAAACGTAGTATTAGAGAATTGTATATAAAAATTATAATATTACAACTGTTGATACGAGAAGTAACTTTATTGCTTTTAATTCCTTCTAATACTTGGAGTAATTTTATTATTCTCATGACAGTGGCAAAGGAGGATCAAATAAAATCAGTAATGTCAGACATGCTGACAGGAAGAGAGGACACTCCGAAGGAAGCAAACATTGCTAGTGGAATCCTTATGGTCCAGATACTTGGAGTGCAAGGAGATATCGGAACGGCCACGAGAAGGATAACGGTATCTGCCACGAATGATCCCCACCCTCTCGAATGCCATAGACGTAGTCGAACGGGCCCAGAAGAAGATAAACGGGAAATAAGATACATTCACATTTTTCGCGGCCTCGTAACACGCACCTGTCGCCAACAACATCGCAGACCGCAGCGAGAAACGAGCGATTATAAATCATAACTTTGAAATTTATATCTCACTAGCATCTCATTTCGTCTCTTCATTCTCAATACAGTCGCATAATTATGTAAAATGCATACATTAATAATCAGATTATCATTAAAGAATAATAATAATAAATTTCTGTGAAAATATTACATGAATAATCATAATGTAAAACAGTGTATTCATAAAATCGCGTTAAGATCGTTCAAAAATGAACGATCGTATAAACAATACTTATTTTGTACAATTTCGATAATACACATAATATAATAATAATAACAATATGTATTTTTATCATTAGAAACGATAGATTTCAATGTTCTAATTATAGCATGTTATAAGAAAATCAATTTATGTAGAATTTTAATACTGTAAGAGAAAGTAGAAGGCAATCAAGCGTTATGTACCATAAAATTCTGGAATTTCCCTCAAACTCGCGATTAGCGTAATACTACAAATAGAGTCAAGATTCTATAGTAGTACAGTTTTCTCCCGCTGCATGCTTCTGAACATATAACTACTTTTACCACAGATATGGCGGGAATGTCTAATTGTGCACGCGTTTCTGATTGGGACCTACTTTCCTCTTCCGGTAATAAGATCACGATTCGTTCGCCGGGCAAAGTTGCCAAGGACACTCATTCATTTAGAAATCCTAGGTCATGTTTATTAAAATATTATCGCGATTTAATCCAATTTTTCGACAAAATAGATTGTCGAAGTCTTTGATCTTTTTTATCAGAAATATAAATCTTTGAGGCACAGTACGGTAAGCAATTGAACATCTGCATCTGGCAATTATCGTGTTTGCTGTCAAAGTTACGTCTTCATTATTCCTAGTGACTAGACGTCCTGGTTTTCGAGGACATGTCATTTTTCCTGAAATGCCCCCGCACGAGTCTCAATTTTACATTCATAATATTTCAAAAATTATACTCTTTTATCTTACTCAATTTATTATTTTGTCTCATTAAAATTTCAAAATTCTAAAGCAACTATTAATAATGTTTCTACCGTTCTGCATCGTTGTGATTTGAGATTTATAAATAAAACATGAGATGCACGACTAACAAATAGCACATAAGAATATCAATTAGCGAATGTGATAAAATAATTCTGATAACAAAAAGTAAATTATAACGTATCGCAAAAATATAATTTTCTTCCCGATCGGTTAACATATAAAGAAGTATAATCGTGTTGTTCCCAGGAAAATAGCCGAGCGAAAAGATATGAAAAACATCTTCACAATCTATAGTGACCACGTAGGAATAATGAGATGCTTGCTTGTCCATTTCTCTAATCTGCCAGCAAGGGCGTCGCCCTTCGTGCTCGTCTCAACGTGGCGTAACAGACGCCGATACCGAGCACGCAGCAGGAAACGCAACCAAGTACATCCAATGAGCGCCGCGTCGCTGCTCCGCGTCGAGGCGTTTCACGCGCATTTTTAGTCGGTCGATGACTCCGAAGTTGTATTAAACACCGGCTACGTTGTAATTGAAATTACGTAGTATCGGAGCTGAAAATGCCCGGCTGGTTGCGCGCAGTGTACGAAGTCTCGCTACCTCGACGAATGTCGTGATCACGGTAGAAAGAATACAAGGTATGTTAATATGCGCAATGACGATATTGACGGACGGAGGACCTGTCCGTCTCGCGGCTTCACTGATGAGCCGGTTGACAGCACTTATTATCACTCGTTATTTATAACAATTTGCTGATAGTATTTACTAATAAAATAATAATGAACTTTTAAAGAAATAAATAGTTTATAATGATTAATATTATAATATGTGAATATAGAAATTTATAGGACAACATTTGCAATCGTTAATAATCGAGAGATTCGAATAATCATTGAGATCACTTATTAATCAATAAATATCTATAAATTAAATCTTTAAATCTCAAAATAATAAATATAAAAATAAGTCAATTGATCGGGTTTTCGAGTGGCTTAAGAATTTACGAGCGTAAAAGAGGTGAAAAGGAGAAAGAGATTTATGGATTGTGTCGCGGGGGGGTGCAATCGTTTCGCTTTACACCTCGATCTAATTAGAAACGGCATGTCTCAGAGCTTCAAGGCTGTCGCGTCCTTCGTGATCATTGCACGCTCGACATATTACCACACGAGAAGCCCCGCGCTCGGCGGCCAAGGGAGAAAGGCGATGTATGGCGAAAGAGTGTATGTGCGTGTGTATAGTGTTCGGGAAATTGTATTGAGGATGCACCGAGCGCACATTTAACCTGCCCGTGGTAAAGGTTCGGTCTAGTAGATTCAGTATGTTCCGCAACATGCCCTAATTCGAAGCATTGTTACTCGTATAATTTGATATACACGCATTCGTAAATAAAGAAATTAATTTATACGAGTCAGCTGATTACGACAATAAAGGTTTGAACCAAATTGAAACATTTATTTCACATTGTCTTACTATTATATTTTAAATAAAGAGAATGTTCTAAAGCTATTGAACGTCACAAGCTTAAGATAAGCTTAAATGTACTGTATAAATTCAGGTAATCTATATTTTTATTTAAAAAAAATTTTTTTTTAATAATTTGTAAATGTGCATGAGTAAAAATAAGTCTCTCAATTTTGAATTGATTATCGCAAAATCTCAAGATATTTTGTAGGCGTTTGCTTTGCTTTGTTAGAAAAAAAAAACTTCATTCTGCTTTCTCTTAAGATACACAGTAATTAATGTTCTCGCAAATAACTAAATTAGTAAAAAACTTATAAGAATTTTAATTTGCAAAGTTATAAATTTCTGATTTTTGGAATAAAAAGAATTTTTTCATTAATTTCTATTTTACTTTATTTCCATCGATATATATTTTAAAATCTCACAATAACTTATCAAAAACTTCAAGAGACAAATTTTTTACCAAGTTGCTAATTAGGTGTTTAATTGTACAGAAATTCATTTCTTTCGTATTAATTTAACCATTTTTTATAAATTAAATAAAAAAATGTCTTAAATTTTCGATACACTTTTTAGACGTCTTTTGGCCTTATGTTGTTTGAAGAATGTCTCTAAACTTGTCAAGACTTCGCAAATTAACGATGTCGCGAATCCCAATGTTAGAAAGTTTACGCAACAATGATTTACCTGAAGTTTTATGTCCGGAAGGATCAACATCGTTCTCGCGTCCGTTCGCCAGGGCGAACCGCGAATATCCGAGTTCACTATTCGATCCGTGTCCTTGCCTTCTCCAGTCCGTGTCTTCGTGCACGTTTTCGCGTACCCCCTCGGGCTAATATAAGATTGTCTCTTCGTCGTCGTCGCCAGAATTCTCTGGAATGCCGCGGGGTTTCCGCGGAGTGCTCGCGGTCGCGTCGTTCGCACGGTCGACCGGAAGTGCGAGCGGCTCTTCTCAACCAAGTACCGATATTCGGTGAACACTTTGTCCGCAGAATATCCCGACAATTCGCGAACGATCGCTTTTGCAAAGAGCAAAAATCACGCACTGCTCAAACGATTATAATTGCGATATCCTGTAGACACGAAAGTGTTACCAAATAGAGAAAAGAGCAACGATGTTTCCTCTCACATAACGTGTAATAAACATTGCAGAAGAACTCGCGCTGAAGGACGGATATGGAAAACTGATATCTTGTCACAAGCACAGGGTTTTGGAAATTTCAAAATTGTCAAAAGGATGACGTTTAAACTGTAGCGAAATTCGAAGCGCGTTGGGACTCGACAACGCGATCGACGCGATGGCGTACACAACTTCCCGATAGACGATTCATCAACGGCAACCTAGAAGCTCGGCTAGGATCGGCAGTAGTCGGTGTAGCTCGGCGAAAGGGAAAAGAAAGGGTGAGCAGAAGATAGAGTAGGGATGGGCCCGGTCACGAGGATGAGCCTGCTATGTGGCCCATCACAGAGAAGACCGTCTGCGGTATAAAAGTGAGGGGGAAACCGCATGCTTCTCCGCGAGAAATGGCAAATTTCTCAATGACGGAATCTTTCCAAATCTTTGACATCTTTCCGTCAAATTGAGGTCGATAATTGCATGTAAATATTGCACCACCAAAATTTCACAGGAAATGATACTAAACACACACATTTCATATTTTTGTAAATTTATATATAATAACTATTCCAAGAGATTTTATATTCACAATTGTGCTATTTTTATTTTTTTAATATAAAATGAGTCTGTTGTATTTTGCAATAATGAAATTGATAATTATATAAAACTATAGAACTGTAGATAAATAAAATGATAAAATTGTTAAAAATCTGGTGACAATTTATATCTAAAAGTCGTCTAAAATTCTTAAAAATTAAGTATCAATTTTACCAATAAAACACCGTGACATTGCGTTTACTTCATGATTGTAATCTTAATTCTAATTGAAAAACTTTTAATTTGTAGTTTTCTGTTATTAGAATATAAGTTATTAGAGAAGATTATATAAAGAAAATTGCCTTGAATGTGAACTGTAAAGTTTCGAAAGTCGCTCTTGGCGAACTCGCAAACGTATATATAACATTAAATTCGACAGAAAATTATAAACTCTTGGTAGCAATTGTCGATAATAAAATAAATTGTTACTGCAGCTGCCTTAGCATAATATTTAAAAAGTTTCATGTTTCTAGTCAAGTATATTTGTAGGCTTTTTATCGAAACTAATTGCCGAGAATTATACTCTCGACAACCTCAAATTAACGTTTTTGTGTCACTGGAGAATAATGTAATGCTACGTTCTTATAAAAAAAAAAATATATACGATGATAGTGCTCTTTTCCAATTGCCGCCAATTCATCGCGGCACTAATCAGAGTTCTGATATAAAATAGACGCACATTACTCGCAGTATTAGCGCTACTTGTGATTGCAAATGTCATGTGAACGTGAACTATCCCTGAAATGCAACTGAGATCTTCAAGCACGTTTAGACGAGCATGCGTGGTCGTCTTCAAAAGTATTTAAATATATAATTGAATTGAAGAGCCATTATTTCTCTTTCGCAATAGAGATAATAAATATTTGTTATTTATGCTAGTTATGCATTCAAACAAAGTGTTCCGTCCGTTTTCACGGCGAATGATTTATTGCCCATTACTTCGCATGTGTTATTCAAATAATACTCAGAACGCTTTGTGACCATTTCTGCTCTTAGGGAAGCACAACTTCGCAACCTCTTGCGTACTTGCGCGACCGCTGCGATAATCGAATCGAATGCGACAGATGGTTGTAAGACCTTTCTTCTGAGGTAGC